TGGGACGGTTTGGAGTGGAGGATGTCTGGGATGATGGTGTTGAATGCTGAACTGAAGTCCACAAAGAGGGCCCATGCATAGGTCCCTGGGGAGTCGAGGTGCTGCAGGATGTAATGCAGTGCCATGTTCACTGCATCGTCCACTGACCTGTTTGCCCGGTAGGCGAACTGCAGGGGGTCTAGCAGACTTGCAGAAATGTGATGTCTTCACCACTTTTTCCGTGGTTCGCTCAATGAAGTCCCTGTTTTACCCCTAAACCAATAAGTGAAGTCCTCCTTTTACTTCTAAACCAGTATAAGTGCCTGTAGTCAGTGCAGCCAATCTATGCTTCAGACTGGCCACGCTGCCTCAGTGTTCAACCCGAAACAAGGACACAGACTGAGGAGGTATGAATGAATGAATCTAATCTTGGCTGTAGACCGGTGGTTAATTCCTACCTGTGGGGATGCGGATGTTGATGTCAGACAGTGTTGACAGGTTGCTTCCCCAAGTGAAGAATCCATTGCTCACCTAAACAACAAAGAGAAAGATTAAGTGTCTGCTAAAGCCCAGAGACTACACTGAATCTGGTATAAGATAAAACTTGGATAAAAAAAAAACCAATACAAATGTTGTGGCTCCATTATTATATGCACGTCTCACAGTAACTTGCCATTATGCAACAAATGACTACGTGCTGTTTTGTTATGTGTAGACCCACCAGAGGAAAGCACATGACCCATTTTATGTTCTGACCCAGAGTTAAAGAAACCCGAACAGTGAGTTCATCTCAGTAAACACTGCTGAGATAACTGCATGACACAAGCAGGAACACATACTGTGCTTGCAGTATGAAGGGCTCCAAACCAAACGCTGTCCTGTGACGCAGTTCTCAAGTTTTGGAGAGTTCATTTCAGTGAATGCTGAGAAATAAAATGCCATTACACAAGAGAAACAGGTGCTCTAGTTCATTTAGTTCTTTAACCTTTTGTTGTCAGGGACCCAAAGTCCTGGTCCATGTTCCCCTCATGGGAGGGTGACTGAAAAATAATAACTAAAGTTAGAATAAAATCAAATTTACTTATGTATCCAAACAATTCACAAATTTGCCTAAAGGGGTAACAATGCCGCCTCAATCATCTGTGCAAATAAAACCTGCTGTGTCCTATTGTTTGCGAGTTTCTCTAGTGGATGGTTGCAAATGGAGAAAAGTTCCAGATGGCTGTGTGAAACATCTACACTACATTCAATGTGCAACAGCAGCCAACAGCCTTCATATCTAACCCCTGTTCAGTGATATATCAGTCTGCTTCCTGCTAAGACTCTGTTTACATTCCTCCCATCTACTGTATTTATTTGTTTATTTTATGTTTATTTTATCTAACAGTCCTCCCAGCCTTTCTTCCACTGGTCCCTTCAACCAGTAACACACAATTGGCATCTAAAGATAGGAACATCTTTGCTCCTTTGTCAGCAATCATTTAAAAAGAACCTGCTTAAATTTAGTTATTTATCACTTAACATAAGGAAATCAGGCAAAATAACAACTAAATCTCTCAAATAAACAACAGCCAGGCATCAGTATCATGTCTATGTATCAAACAACTGTGTAGAAAATCACAAACTGATTTTGTGGCTACTGAGATTAAAGTTTTCTTTGGGGGGGATAGAACAGAAAAAGTGACAGTGAGATCAGATACTATTAAAAAAAAAATGGGGAAGGGAAGGAAGACAGACAAAATATGTGAAAAGGGGAGTGAGACATTATGGTAGAAAAATGTGGGGTCACCACATTTAAGCAAAGAAAGATAAAAAATACAGGAAGCCACAGGAAGTGGTCCTGACCAGTTTTGTTTAGGTCAAACACCACAAAAGATTTTATCAAAAATTGTAACTTTGGAGTGAACTGGAGGTCTGGGATTTTACAGCAATGACCATTAACTGCAATGTCCTCAGTCTGAGACCTGCTGCGACCTTTGCTGGATGTCTATAACCCCTCTTTCTATCCCCTCATTTACCAAATTTCTCTGCTGACAAATGATAAAAGCATAAAAAATATGTCTGGGTAGATTTCTCACTTGTAAACTAACCAACACACAAACAAATCTTGAGCTGGTGATTTGACTCTGTAGCTCTAAATTAAGTATGAATAATACTGGCATCACACAAATTCAGGTTGTAGCGCTTTGAAAATGCAATGGAAAACTGCAAATAATGATCACATCAGTAGGAGAGATTGCTTTAACGTGCAAAGTGCTGAACACAGACTATATACAGTATATGCGGTCAAGCCAGCTCATCTACTTTTGGTCTGGGGCTATAGTGAAGCCCCTAAAAGAGAGATGTTAATGCTACATCACACAGAGACAACAGTGGTCTTTCACCCTTGTGGCACCAGTTTATGGTTTTTTGGCCTTTACTGTTTCAACATGACAATGCCCCTGTGCACACTGCCAGGTCTACGGGGAAATGATTTTCCCAGTTCAGCGTGGAAGCAGCCTACACAAGGCCCTGACCTCAGCACCTTCAGTATCGACTGGTGTGCCAGACAAACTGAAGGCCACCCCCGAAGAGTGGCCGCTGCTGTAAGGTTATTAATGGCCTTAATTTTGGAATGACCTGATAATTGACCTATGCGGACATGGTAGTGAAGACTGTTTTATTATTGTGAACAAGCCAGTACACTCCACTGCTCTCTGTCTCAAATGAGGGGACCACTGTGTGGTCAGTAGCGTCACTCCACAGGGATGAGGCAGGAAGAGCAGCCGTCACAGAAGCACTGAGAAAATGCTGGACATGTTCACAAGGCCATTTATGGGGCAACAAATTCTCATGTGAATCCCACACTTCCTGAGTACATGCACACACAGTCACACACATCACATTTATGACTCCACGCACCCATTTATGTAAAGATATGAACCAGCTGCTGATAAATAAATGATAACAGGAAGCAGTTGCTACAGATCTTTGTATGTATGAGTGTTAATTGATTACTCTGTCTGAGCTCATGATTTTTGGTTTTTACTGTCATAAAAAAAAAAACCTGGGTAAAAAGCATGTTATAAAATCCATCCATCCATCCATTTTCTTCCACTTATCCGGGACCGGGTCGCGGGGGCAGCAGTCTAAGCAGAGATGCCCAGACTTCCCTCTCTCCAGACACTTCCTCCAGCTCCTCCGGGGAAATGCCGAGGCGTTCCCAGGCCAACCAAGAGACATAATACCTCCAGCGTGTCCTGGGTCTTCCCCGGGGCCTCCTCCCGGTAGGACATGCCCGGAACATCTCCCTAGAAAGGGGGCCAGGA